TGGATTTAATATCTTGTATCAGAAAAGTTGCTCAGTTCTTCGAAGTTTTTTTTAAAAACACCTTCAGTCGCAACGAACCTTACAACTTTAATAAAAGAGTAAGCAAAAATATTATGGACTCATTGCAATTAAACACAAAATTATGAAACAAAAATGAAAGGAAACTTTCCCTTATACCTAAAATATTTATAGACACTAGAAGCAGGCACTAAATTAAATGAAAGTGAATCAGCAACGAATGAAGATAAATCCAGTACTTGCAATATTAATGTCCGTTTAAAATTCTAATGTTAAATTTGACTTTTAAAGATAAGTCAAATAGTGACACAGCAAATAAATGCAATCCTTCACAATTTTAAGCGTTAAATGTGTATAATTTTGATTAGCACAGTTTCAAAGCCAGAATCTGAAGATATACATTAAAAGATTCAATACCTTATATGTTATGAATTAAAAATTTTTCATATTGGTAAGATCTGATTAACTTATCATAAAATTACTATATCAAAGAAACAATCCGTCATTGCGTTACTTGGATTAGTATATTCTCTTTTAAGCTATATGCCTCCCGACATATCTAAACCGTTTTTTGCTAATTTTAATATTTATTTACTAATGCTAACTTTATATACTTGACATCACCCAATTTATAGTTTGTTAACTGATTCGTGTTCGTTCCAGCTAGTTTGTGTTCCTATCAGCTGTCTTGTTCTCGTCTCATATTAATATGTTTCTAGTAAAGGTAATGAAAAATATAAATATTTATCTATATATAAATAAAATGCTTATCATGATCAGTACAGATATACATTTTTTAATAACGTTCATTCTGCTTAACGTAATATAAAAATAATTGTATACATTAAAATATAAGATGTAATAGAGACACATCCGAATGATTAATTAACTGCAAGTGAAGTGGAGGTATACACTATGTCATACTATCACATCCTTACAGGTCTGAAAGTTAAGTAAAATAAATGTTCTTAAATATGTATATAGGCACAGCTCCTGGTGCTACTATATTAGATACGAAATATTTACTTAAAATATTGAATTATGTCCAGTAATAATTAATATGGATTCCTCGTTATATATTTATTATTAAATATATTCAAATAGATGCATCCGAAGAATTTATCAATACAACTAAAAATTCATCGACTAATAGAAGATCTTTGGAACTACTTAACGAATTTGGCTATGATAGGCTAGATTCATCGGCAAAAAATCAAAATCATTCAACGATAAATGATACATTTCAATCGCTTAATACTAACTGTCCAGATTCCACTCATGGATTCGATTCCAGTTATACTCCGGATATAACTAACCAGTCCAGCATTTTAAATAATTCAACCAATAAACAAGTTTTTACTTACACAACTGAAACTCCACTAAGTGATGTCAGGGATTTGATTATTCAAACTGCGAAAACCCAAAAAAATTGTAAGAAACATTTTTGCTTATTTTGCAATAAGTTGCAAACAAAATTCGCTCGTCACTTGCAGCTTGTTCATAAAAATGAGCCGCAAGTACAAAAATTCATATGCCTGCCGAAAAATGACAAAACTCGGAGATTACTTATTGATGAAATTAGAAAAAATGGTGATTATATCCATAATATCGATGCATCGTTAAATAATGGAACTCTAATCGTGCCCCGTCAAAAGCGAGTTAATTCTAAAAATGAAGTTGTTGATTTCATATGTTGCAAGGGATGTTCTGGATTTTTTCCCAAAAGCACAATACGAAGTCATATTAATAATTGCAAAGGCAGCGATCATAAGAAAGGAACTCGTGACTTGCTTAAACAAGGTCGCTCCAAAACCGGCTTTATGCATAAAAGTGCAAACGACGTTGTGCGCACAAAAATAATGCCTGTTTTAAATGATGATCCAATTTCTCGGAATCTGATATATGATGAATTGATTGTTTTATTCGCAAACGCAGAATCTATGAAGCACGGCGAACTTCAGTACGATATGATCAGAGCAAACATGAGATTGCTAAGCAGACTATTATGTGAAATAAAAAAATCTGAACCCAATGAGATACAGGAACTTAAAGACGCCATTAATCCCAAACATTTGGATTTAATGATATCTTGTATCAGAAAAGTGGCTCAGTGGGACTCTTCTTTGTTGTTTTTTAAAACACCTTCAGTCGCAACGAACCTTACAACTTTAATTAAAAAGTGCGCAAAAATATTATGGACTCATTGCATAAAAACACAAAATCATGAAAAAAAAAAAATAATTAAAGATTTTCTTGTTCTATGGGAAACCGAAATCCCTCTTTTTATAAACAAAAAAGCTATAGAAGATCAGTCAAAGAAAAAGAGAGCTCTACCAACTATCTTACCATGTAAAGAAGACATCAAAAAACTTTTTGATTATGTGATAAAAAAGTCTGAAAATTCTCTTAGTGTGCTGAAAATTAAGTTTGATTTTTTGTCATGGACATCGTTAATACAAAGCACACTAATTGGCCTTCAAATTTTTAACCGCCGTAGAGCTGGTGAAATTGAAAGACTAACAATTGAGAACTATCTAACAGGCCACGCCATCGATGAAAATGTGGATAAAGAAAACTTCGACCGTCTCACGAAAGAAACTAGAGAAATTGCTCAAAAATACACAAGGTTGACTATCCGTGGAAAACTAAATCGAACTGTGCCAGTGCTGCTCACACCGTTTGACAAGTATTGTATTGAAACTATTCTTAAATATCGTAAAAGAGCTGGTGTTAAGAAAAATAATGATTACATATTTAGCGTGCCTAACGCCAAGCCTTTAGCAAAGCAGTATGTACGGGCTTGCCCCATTCTAAAAAGATTTGCCCTGGAGTGTGGGGCTCGCTGCCCAGGGGCCTTAAGGGGAACGATGCTTCGAAAGCATTTAGCTACCTATACATCGATGCTTAACGTCGAAGATGTCCAAATTGATAGGCTTGCCAATTTTATGGGTCATCATAAAGATATACACAAAGAAATCTACAGAATCCCTGTAACAGTAGCGGAGATTGCCGAAGTATCCCAGATGCTTATGGCAGCTCTTGGAAATAATGTTGAGGATGAAAACACAGTAGCCCTTGATCAGTTAAAAGAAAGTGAGTAAATATATTCATCAAGGTTGTGAGTGATACTAAGTGTAGTTATTGTGTAGAATATAATATTTTAACTTATCTAATAATTACTTATCCAATAAGCCCTATTGTCAATGTTTTTACATTATACTTAAAATGTATTTTGCAGATGATCCTTTAGAGGATTCGGAATCAGATTATTCTGAACAGCGATCAGAAAGCGAATTTAATATTTCCGATGATGAAATTGTAGAAAAATCCAATGCAAAAGGAAAGCGTCCAAGTAGTGAGTATTGAATTGCAACCTACATATTTTTGTCACGTGCTTACATGCATTGCGATTAGTCTGTCCTATTTATCCTCATTCGCAAAGTGAAAAAATATATCGTGCTTATTTTGCGGGCCCATTGAAGTTAGAAACTTTGGGCTTGAAATATATACACGTATATATCCACGATAGGTAAAGTGCTACAATTATATAATGACGACCACTGGGGGCGTTGTAAATCCTAAAAATCGTTTTAAATTGCACAATCGCAAATCTTACAGAATCTTAGAGCTTGACTAACTTTTTCATGAATACTATTGATGGACTACTCTGAAGATCGATAAAAATTAGTTTGCCTACGATTGACTGGGTGCGTGGCGAATGTTTAAAATTGATATCACCTAATAAATTGTTCTGGTAGGCTGTATTAATCTGTTATTGGTCTATGATTGAGTATTGCGACGGTTGCAACCGACTGCAAAGTTTTTAATATTTTTCTATATTACTAAAACGTTATTCTTTTTCACACTAAATTGTATTAAACTCTATTATTTAACAGGATCATCATTTGGAAAAACGATAAGAAACCGGTGGTCGAATGAAGAGCGTGAAGAAATATACCAGGCTTTTGGCGACCTGTTGTCGCTTAAAGGATTGCCGTCACTTAATCAATGCAACACAGTTATAAATAATTCTACATATCTAAAATGTAGGACACCGGCGCAAGTAAAAACATGGATAGATAATCAGCGCAAGGCTAAATCAAGGAACTCCGCAAATAGATTAAATAATAAATATGTTGACCATATTTAAAATAAGTGGATTATACTTTTTCGTATATTAATATTAATTTATGTTAAAAAATTTTGGAATTAAAAAAAAATTCATTTTAAATGCATGTATTTAATAACGTCATTTATGTTAATTCACATTATTAATTTTACTTTAACCTAAAGTGATCCAAAACTACATTCAAAATAAATTTGACTCTTAATTTCAATTAAGCCAGTCTGCCACTAAATTTAAAATGTATAAATTTAATAAAATATTGCTGAGTCTTACGTGGTTTAGCGTTATATTTATTTAGTTTAGTGAGTTTTATCGAAATTCACTGTTCCCTAGTCCTCATAACCTCTATATATGAGTCTCTATATTTATATAAAATCAGTATGTTTTTGGGGACAGCTATTTGACTGTTATTTACTAAATTGAAGTGTGAACTGGACCAAATCTCATCGTTCCTGTGTCCTTATAATACACGTTGCTTATGCAAAAAGGTCTGCATATGGCAACCCTGCGTTTTTGTTCCTAAAACTGACCTTATATATAAAGTTCATTATACGGAAAATTTTTATGTTATATACTGAGAGTATTTCGGGAACTGAGTCCTCGTAAAACACGTTACATGGTGTGTACCCAAAATAATGGTTGTATATAAAATTTCTCATAAGTCACGAGGCTATGCTTCTAAGACCGTTAAAATTTCCCAGAGGTTAATTTAGAAGTTCCATCATGATTCCCCAAAGAGAAAACCCCCACTTTTTGGGGTCCCTGAAATCGATGCTCCACATATATATATATATATATATATATATATATATATATATATATATATATATATATATATGGGCATATTTGGAATTACCGAAACATTTGCTCTGATTTGTAGCACGATCGATGAAGACCTTAGAGCTGATCACATTGCCAAATGGCAGGAACATTTGCATTAATTCTGCATCACCAAATTCTTGCGGCAAATGATAGATGAATAGATTGCAGCCCTCCGGACCGGATATAGAACATCCTGGGAACATCAGAAAATCTTAAAAGAAGACATTACAAGAAAAGAAATAAAGTAGAGAAAAGAAATTAAACGATGAGCAAAATCATAAGTTAGAACATTATGAGTTTGTCTGCTGTATTTGGCTGGTTTTGAGTTTATTTTCCTTTTTTTTTTCATTGTGTCTCGTGTTTCGTGACTGATTTTGTAGACGATTTAACTAAAGCTAATGCGTTTCATAAAACTGCAAAACCAAATAGCAAACAATATGATAAAATATACTCTTACATAAAAGATAAACAAACGAACAGTAACAAAATACGCTTGCATAGGCTAAAATATAAATGTAGACATATTCGTAATCTAAAATGCTTAATGAGCTACCAGTTCTATAATTCTAGCAATAAAATACTTAAGATTTTAGCTTATGATATTAAATTCTATTTGTTTATTCTCATTTTATATATATATTTTTTATAGCCCCATTTGCGATTATCCCTATACAAGAATAGTATGATATGAGTTCAGCATAGCCGAGTTTCATGTGTGTGTCATGCAGGATAAGTACTAAGTAAATATATCAAAAATACAATTAACTACGCGCAACAAATATTGAAAATGAATAACAGATTTACAAACAAGTAAGGGTTAGTTATAGACAGTATACACATTTAAGAATGTGGTACACAGGCACACACACACACACACCCACATACATACAAAAAGAGAGAGAGAGAGTGGCACATACACATAGGAACATCTATATAGCTGACTATAATTCAGATACGTATATATAGACATTATTTATGTACGCCTTATTAATGGTGTGCTTGTATCTTGTCTCGTCACCGTTACATAGTTTAAGAAAGACAAAGGAACTGAGTAAAAAAAAAAAAGAAAAAACCAAGCGAAACAAAGTAACATAAAATTTTATGATTTTTCATGTGCCGGACCCAGCCCTCGACCATCCGATCCCCGCGCGTTTCAGGCAAATATCTTGAATATACGCCGACGCTTTTTATGTGATTTTAAGCAGTTTATATGCAATTTTTACGATCTCACATAAAATGCCTTTAAATGCAGCCATTAAAAACGATTTACGCCTCTGGTTCTGCAACCCTTTCGAAAGGGGTTCCGCGATTTTGCCCCTGTTCAGTGCATCAAAATATAAGTAAGAATTCCAAATAAAAAGAACACAAGTAATTAATTTTTATGGGCATTTTAGTCAAATACGTTCGCTAAAAGAAAATTCATTTATTTTATTAAATTGGCTTTATCGACCCACCGAACTGCTTACGATATTCAATATATATTTGTCTACGGAGTACGTGTTTGTGTGGGTGTGTGTGTGTGTGTATCTGAATGGTTAATTTATTTATATATAAATGGAAACATTTATTTATGACGAGTAACGAAATTCTAAACCCTTCGCTTTGCATGAGTTATTCGTTTCAAGCCAAGAGTCAAACACAATATTGAGATATAGTACAAAAAGAAAAACTAACAAAGAGTTAGAAACGGAACTAAAGAGAGAACAACCGACAAAATAATAATGAAAAGCTTACCTTCACGCTGAGTGGGTGCAACCGCCGCTAGGGGAGGTGGTAAAGCTTGTGGAAACTGTCCATAGACGGCGGGAAAGGCTGCGTTATATATAAATAATTTTTGTTTTTGGTTTTTACACAAAATCCGAAACATTTATAAAGACAACACAACAGTTAAGTATACGTATATAATTTATGTTAAATTAATTAAGATTTCTTTGGTGTCAAGTTAAACCAGGTATAAACAGAACAAAAAACGATAATAAGTTTACAATCAAAGATGACAGGCTACGACCAGATCCGACCATTATATATCTTTCAGTCAGAAATAACATCGGAAAATTAAGATATACCAGCCAAAGTGGGCAACTGGATTTCTAGAGCGTGTGTTACATAAAGTTATAAATATAGACTTTACGTATGGCATGTGAATACGAATTTAGACAGATTCAAAGTTCGTATAAACATTGTTATGATAAAAACAAGAAAATATAATAAACGAATTTTATATCGTGTGTTCGCAAAGAATTGTTAAACGTTTAACATTGAACAACAAATTTGGATATAAGAAGATCTGAAAATATTCAACATATAATTAGAACAAACTAGGAGAACGAGTTTAAACAGAAAAGCCATATAAAGAAATATAGAACTGTTTTTCAGTGTGGCAATCAATCACTTTGCTTGAGAAGCGCATAGAAGAGCGATAAATGGTAAAGATTGATGGTGAAGGTTCAACGATTTTTGCTACACTTAAGACGAATTCTGTATTTCTTTTGAAACAAATTAAATATTTATGTATATATAGAAGTTAGAGTTATATATAACACTTTACTAACAATATATATTTATGGCATGACACAACAATTATTAATTATTTCAATAAAAACAATTATAAATGATTGAACTGTTTATGCTGTCTGTTGTTGTTGAATTCCTTCTTTTTTGTTATGTGAATCGCCTGCCTTATAGCGGCATTGTGCTTATGACGATGATAATACAGATCTTGGCGCTAATTATGAGAGAACCTGACAGGTGATTTATGAAATAAAATGACTAGATAATGCACGAGAGAGATAAAGAGGGGAAGCGGGAGTATGTATGATAAATTGGGCTAATAATGACATAACAATTTTTCAAATTATTAACATTTGGTGCGTATGGAACTTGTACTATCTATTTAAATTTTCTTTATTTGGGCACAATTATATACGTAGTTCTCTTAGGCATATTGTTGCATAAGGCATATTACAGACTATGGCTAACCCGAGTTTGGGAACTTACCAACTCCTGGAAATGGTGGCAAACCAGGGAAGGCATGTTGCAGTGCAGCAGCATCGCCATTTGGCAAACCTTGTGGTGGTATGGTCAGATGCAGCGGATCTAGATGAAATAATAGAGTGTAAGGCATAATTGGTTAACCTTGTTAGCTGGTAACTGAAATTGTTAAATGCATTTATGTAAAATAAAAAAGTAAGATAAACAAAAAATCATTGGTTTCTTGGCACAAACAATATAGGATAGATAGACTTGTGGGGCTACTTACGTGGGAATGCCGTTTGTGGAATGCCATTCGTGAAGACACCGTCCGCAACTGAAGCGGCAGCAGCGGCGGCTGCAGCCCCGCCGGGCTGGCCATTGGGCGTATTGGCGCCCATATTGAAGTTGGGCATCGTTGGCGAGGGCAGCGACGGCGGCTGGCCGGTGCCATTGAGGCCATGAGGTATTTGCGTTGCCAATGCAGCCATTGGATTCATATAGGCAGCTGCCGAGCCCGGTGCCGTTGCCGCGGCAGCCATCAGAGCCGCTTGCTGTTGTTGCTGTTTTTTTTGGGAATATAAAAAGGGACGTGATGAGGCGTGCTGAACGGGCCGTTGGCGGGTATGGTTGAGGAGGGTACTTACCTGCGCGTAGGCGCCGTACGGTCCAAATTGATTAAAGACAAACGGATTCAATAGGTTCATATGACCGGCCATTTGCTGCATGCGTCTTATTTGTCGCTCCTTCTCCGTGTCGGCGTATTTGACAACCAGGCTGGAGGATGCACCCTGAAAATAATTGGAATCAAAGAGTGAGTCAGTGCGTAAGTGAGTGAGTGAGTGGCATTGCATATTTATTGGCGGCTTTTCCGTTTCCCGCCAGCGCAGGCTACAGCGAGCGGGAAATCCTATTACAGGCCATTCTTTTGTGCCTTGTCACTTGACGTTGACGTTGGGGGGTTGCCAACGTTGCCTTATTTTTACCTGTCTCTCTCCCTCTCTCTCTCTTTCTCTGCCACCCCACTGCCCTGCTCGCCGCTGTGCACTTTGCCATTTGGCTTTTGTTATGCGAGGCGCACTGCTCATTATTATCATATTATATTTTATATGCTTTTGTGATAAACAAGAACAACAACAATAGCAACAGCAACAGCAACGATAAAAAGCAAAAATACTCGTAAATAACAAAATAATTGGCAACGCACTTCAATTTGCATTTCCATTGAAATCGGCTTACAAGCTGTTCGCTCTTTATAATATAATATAAGTACCTCTCACATTCTACCCATGTAGCCCCCTATCTCAGGCATCTACATTGAGTCATGATGTTATCTATTGTCGGCTCTCATTGATTTCGAAATATTGGGCACATTCAACAAAGACGGCGCCTAAGCTCTGCTGTGCAGTGCGCTGTCTTTGGCTTTGTTGCGTTCTTTGATGTCAATTAATTAGCATAATAATGGCCGCTTCACATTTCGCACTTCCTGCCCACCACTTAGGCCCCCCCTTTACGTCTACTGTATGACAATTGAAGCGACGACAACATTTCATGTGCCTCGACATTTTGTTTTGTTATAATTAAGACGTTTTGCAGATGAGTTGGCTGTTTTTGTAATACGAAACCTTTACTGGGGGAGGCTGGGAAATGGGGGAGAGAACAGCTTTTATGATTTTGCAAATCATTAATCAATGTAACAATGATATTATGTTGCATAATTTTAGTCGCCCACACTCTCCCTTTTCCAGGCTCTGTTTGTTTTTGTGTAAGTATGTGTATCGTTAATGAGACTAAAGCCAAACAGGTGCTCCATGTATATAGTTAGGAGCCTTGCACACAATTTTAATTAATGAAATATGAAACTCAAGTTTATGTAAAGGCCATGATACGAGGTAAAACATTCAGGGAACAGCAAAGTTACCAGGAGCCTGGAGGCACACCGCCGGCAATGTGAAACTATATTCTCCGCATTTCTGAGCAGCCTGGAGCAATCACGGTCATCTCTGGCCCGGTCTTGTAATGAGCTTTAATGAGCTACCAGTGAACATTAGACATTACACGATTATATTTATCAGTCGAATCTGTTGCTGAATAGCGAATGTTTTAGTTACTCGCTTAGGTCTTTATATCCAAAGGGTCTCTATTGTCTTTAAGAATTGAATACTTGGCTATAAATGCACATTTATGGCAAAAACTGACGTTATTTAGGAATAGAAGCCAGCACTAGGAGAGAATGCTAAAAGTATATGCATTCATCATTAAACATAATATAAATGAGAAAAATATCTTTAAAAACCCGATGAATATACATTAAAACATATGAAAGCAACATTCACTGAACTTTAAGTTATAAAATTATTATAAATATTCCAGAAGCAAACATAAACAAAGACGGCCTAAAGGCAATTCTGGTATTTATCATTCAAAAATTTCAATTGTGCCCACTTGAGCAATTTTCTGATGGGTTTCGTGAAACTGTTGGCATGTAATTTTAAACGAAGAATCAACAGAAGCACACAATTATTGAAGTGCACTTCTTTTCAATTTTTCGCCAGCAAATTACAGCATATCAACAACAGCAGCAGCCATGCCAGACACACACACCCCATATACACACACACACACACACACACACATATGTGGCGGCAACAATGAGCGCTTTTCGCATTCCCCAGCGCCCTGGCTATACTGGCTGCCTGTTAATTTCATATTTCGAAACATGACACTTTCACACTTTGGCTAATTTAAAAGCATACAAAATGGTGGCCAACACACACGCACGAGTTTCTTTATTGTTGTTCTTGTTGTTGTTGCCTCATTTCGTGACGAATGTGCTTTGTAGTAGCTGTTGCCGTCGACGTCGCCGATGCCGTTGTTGCTGTAATTGCCGTTGACTGTTGCATGTGGCACACAAAAGGCGAATCCTTTTCGCGCGTATATGCAAGGCGCGTCCTGCTCAACAACGTCGTCTCGTTAAATTGTCGCATGACACCTCACCAATGTCATCACCATTTGCTGTTGCACAGTGTCGAGAGTCAGCCACATTATTACTGTAATTATGTTGGCCGTGTAAACGTCATTAGGCGTTTTAGTGGCAGGCTACAGAACGTGCCCCAATCGAAGTGCTGAGCGACAATGTAGCTGTCGCAGCACTTGTAAATCTTTCGACATGTTGCACGAAAATTGCAATGCACAAATTACAGTCACTGCACCACGCGCTGAAGTTGCAGGGGCACAAATTATAGAGGAGGTCCGAATAACGAGCACCTATCTAGCACGAGTGAGGGACAGGCCTATTATAGAAAGCTGACACAATTTTGGGCAACTTTTCTGTATTTCACACTTTCAATTTTGAAATCGTAAGCATTTCTGTGAGCTGTGCTTTTTGCTATTTTAATTTCTGTTCCAATATAGCTAGTTAGATATATAAACCAATCCCAAATATTCCATTTGGTTCACTTTTGTTTGCCTATCTTTTCAATTTCTAATTACCCCCTATTCCAATGTCTTAGCTTCTATAATTAGCGCAGCTCTTCAATCTCCCAGACAAATAGTGCAACAGGCAACGGCTCGCATGGAACCACAAAAGCTCATAAATTAATTCATTAACGTCAATTTGATAGCCTTATAATCCCCGCACCGCATGCCTTGTGGCGGGCGGTTGCCAATTTGGTTTGCTAGGCCCCTCCGCCTCCGCCTCTTCCTCACCCTCTTACCTCCCCTTAAAATCCGGCAGTGTGCAGACTTGGAAATTATGTTTGCTTTCGTTGGGTTGTGTAAGTCAGCCAAGTCAATATGAACGTTTATTATATGCTATGTGTGCAGTTGTTTGGCTGGCACTTCCGTTTCCTGAAGACGACGACACGAAATTCCCATTCAAGTGAATTGCTGCGCCAAATGAAATGAAAAATTCAACACGACTCTGAAGGCAAGCAGCACGCGCCAGCAGCAGGCACAGCCCTGGCCCTGGACGACTGATTCTACTGACTCGAATGCAACAGGCTGCGGGTTGCCAGTTGCCGGCTGCCTGCTGTCGACTGCCGTCTGGCAACTAACAAGCCCAACTACTAACAGGAGGCCGTCGTCAATTCTGGACTTGTGCCAGGCGGCACTTTTGGCAGCAATCGCATGTTGCATGCCACTTGCTTTGCGGCACGGTCCTGCAAACGTGACGCCATTAGCTTGGGCCTCTCTCTGGCTTAGTGGCAAGCGGGGTGGAGTGCTGAGGCCTTACGATTTTGGCACTTGGCAATATACATATACATATATATTTTTTTCGCTTTATTGTTTTTTAATGCGCGTTGCTCAAAGTTTTTGCCAGTTTTTTGGCCATTTTTTGGCAAAGTTTCAAACCGCACAAGGCCAATAGCTAAGTGAACCCAACGCTGTCGTTGGCCAATTACAATTGAAGGCTTACAGTGCATTTAAAAAGTAATTTGTCTGCCAGCCGCCCCGAAAAGCCGCGCACGTATTTATATTTAAATGCAAATGCAGCCAAGCCCGGCACACAGACGCGAGCAGGGAGGACACAAATGGGAGGGGGCAGGCGGCAACGAGTGCACATGATAAACCTGTTGGCTGTTGGGCTCTGGGGCCCTCCAGACATGACTGTAATCACAGTTACCCGGCTGGCAGTCCTGTTGCCGTGTTCACTAATGGTGGCTACAAGCCGCAAGCACTGAACTCCTGCCCCATACGGCGCTATAGCCTAGAAAGCGGAACGCTTACACGGGCGCTGATATGCAGGCAGCCAGAATACACACACTCACACACACACATAATAAACTGCAACGTGCTCCTGCGGTCCTGGACTGGAGTCCTTTACGTGTCTGGGGACATGTTAACATGGCAGTCGTGCCAAAAAATTATTATTCCCGCCTCGATGGCGCTTTTTGTGCGACGACTGTGAGCGTCGATTTGTCAACGCCTAAAAGGACAACATATTTCTCTCTCAATTTGCAGCACAGCAAAAAAATTGAAAAATGTCGGCACAAAATAATACAAAATAAATACAAATAAATAAAAAACTAGCAAATAAATGGGCGGCAAATGGTTTTAACAAATGAATTATATATGTATGCGTATTGCTTCTTTTTTTTTTGCATATATTTTTGTATATGCCTGTGCATGATTTGCATACAATAGTTTATTTTTATTATAATTTTTTTTTATTATTTATTTTTTAAGCAGCCGCCGGCCGCAGCTTGTTTTAATTGCTAAATGAATTGGCCCGGCACGCATTTGTTTAATGGCCAGCCATTTTTATATATCAATTAAAGCAGCGACAAGAAAATAAATACTTTTCATTTTGTTGATTTTATTTATTTAACACAAAAATGTGCGCGCATAAATTTAGAGCCAAATGGATTTGAGCTGCGCCATTCAAGGGCTCAAAATAAAATATATAAGCTTAATGGAAAGCATGATTTAAAGGTGTTAAATTATACGAGATTGTCAGTAAACAATTAGCTGTGTGGTATTAATATTAATGAGTTGCCAGAGTACTCCGGATTATGACCTGCCGCCCAAAAGATCTATTTGATTCGCTTCTGAGCCTATAACTTCTAGATCAAATTAGTTTTTATTCACTCGCTTAAAGACTGCAGAAGAAATTCAAATTTCTTTAATATTAATTTCTCAGAACTGTAGGCGTATTATTTTAAGATTGTGATTCCCAATTAATACACTATTATTTTAGTCTTTTGCTAACATTTCTAGCTACGCCTAAAATATATTCGTTGTAGTCCCTGCGAATCGATGGAAATAACAAGCGCTCAGCAACTGGCAGCGA